ATTGAAAAAAATATTTTTATCTTGTTATGCCAAAGAAGTATAACTTCTAACGCGTGTACATTAAAGTACACACACATGTTTTTTTTAAAATATATTTTCCAGCTAATTCCCCGACTATGTTGTCGTCGGAACTTACGTATATGTACAACTTAAGTACATGGTATTGGTAACCCGGATGAATTACGCACTGCTACTTATTTCTTTAAACAACTTTTTGTTTAACATCTACAGCCTCTTAACCTATTGTTGAACATTTTTCGAATCTTAGGGATGAAAGTTACACAGCCACCAGAATAAAAAAAATAAAAAAAATGTTTCATGATCATTTTTAAATCTAATAGGCAAGTAGGTGATCAGCCTCCAGTGCCTGACACACGCCGTCGACTTTTTGGGTCTAAGATATGTCATTCCTCACGATGTTTTCCTTCACCGTTCGAGCAAATGTTAAATGCGCACATAGAAAGAAAGTCCATTTATGCACAGCCGGGGATCGAACCTACGACCTCAGGTATGAGAGTCGCACGCTGATGCCACTAGGCCAACAACACACAGCCACTAAGGCGATTACAAAAAAAATTTCTTTAACGCGATTTTAATTATTAGTGGGGCCGTTCAAGTCTTACAAGCACTGTAGGGGAGAGGGTCTTTAATTTTCTTATTTGGTGATTACGTCGACAGTAATTATTTACTTTTTTACTAATATTACCCACACATTGTCTATGCTTGAAAACGAAATGCATTTTCGAGGATTCCTACAAAAAATTAATACGATTAAAATATGTACTATTTTTTTTGAGAGCTTTGCTTACTCCTTGGGGGGATAAATTGCAGTAAATTTGCTGACGTAATACTTGAACGCCCCCAGTGATTTAATTATACATAAGAATATATGCAATAGCTTTAATGTCCGAATATGATAACTTATAACATTGTTTCTATTAAATATAGCTTATGCTAGGCACAAAAAACTATACCGCATGGGAATGACCTCTCGAGTATAATGCCACGTCATCTCCTATTTCTAAGAAAAATGATTTCTAGAATGATCTCTAGATCAAACATGATTTCTGTTATGATTTTTATGTTTTTCCTAATCGGAACTCGTTTTATAACTAGCTATTAATAAATAATCGACCCTAAAATGTTTGCTTATTTAGTAGTTCATAAATTTGCGGTTTTCCGTTAAGTTTCTCGTCTAAACACAAATTAAATACAATTTATCCTTTCTACATCGACACCTGGCTTTCCAGAACACAGCTCTTTTTTAAGGCTCTTCTGGAACCAGCTGCAAGTAGAGGTACATATTTCCGAACCGATACGACGAGTACCATGCAGTTATCACTTCTTTCAAAGTTGGTGCTCAGGGAAAAAAATACTATTACAGTCAAAACCGTTTACGTTTGACCAAAATCAAAGGTTCTATTGCAGTACTTAATAACAACGTCATCGACTGTTACGACTATCGGTTTTTACGACCAAATATAAGTAGTCCCTTCTATGTCGTTATAACAGATTTAGACTGGTTTAATATGAATGTTTATGTAATTTATTTTGTAATTTATTTTCCGATTTATTACTATCACGATGAATAAATAAAAACAATAGGTTTTACTATAAAAGCCTTAAACAGCCTCAAATAGATATAATGTTTTGTCCTTCTCGCTCTTATCCTTTAAAAAGCAAACGAACGAGACAATAGTATATATAAAACTCTGTCGTCATGTTTATTAAACTGCCCCGAACGGCTTGTCAAATTGTGTATATGCAGTAGAATAGGAAACTATTGTTATACCCCTAAGCGATAAGGGTGGCCGATCCCGGTTTTTTATTAACTTTATAATAAAATAATCACTAGAATGCGGGAATGCAATGCAGGTTATAAAGTTGTAAGGTAAGGGGAAAGGTTTTAAAAGCTTCGTTAAAACTTAAAAGCGTCTTTCCCAGCGTAATTGACATAGAAATGATAACATCTACGCTGTTAATCAAAAGAACACTGGGGAAACGAAATTTCTAGAATATATTTCATTATTAGAAACAATTTAACAATTCCCATTAGTTACTCTTAATTTATATAATTACGTCTGGGTGTGTCATATGATATAAAAAAATATATATATATATATACTATGAGCTGTGTTGGCCAAGTGGCTTCAGCGTGCGACTCTCATCCCTGAGGTCGTAGGTTCGATTCCCCCGGCTGTGCACCAATGCATTTTCTTTTTATGTCGCATACATTCGCTCGACCGGTGAAGGAAAACATCGTAAGAAAAGGCTTGCCTAAGACCTAAAAAGTCGACGGCGTGTGTCAGGCACAGGAGGCTGATCTCCTGCTCGCTTATAAGATTGACAAATTATCATGAAACACATACAGAAATCTGAGGATTTATTTTAAAGATTTTATAAAGAAAGATGTTGGGTTAAGCTTTTATTTATAAGGTTTCATTAACTCATAATAAAAGTATTTTATTACTATGAAGATACGTTCCGGATTTAAGTACCTTGAACACACACACACTGGCCCCTCTACCCAATTAACTTATTAACAATGTAAATAACCTTAAGGGCGGTTAACAAAGATGGCGGAAGATATATATTCCTCATATAAGTTTTTATGGTTTAATAAAAAACAAAGTAAAACACAATAGTTAAGAATTTTAAGGCTTTACATCCGGGTCGAGCAATACGTACAGTGTCTAGCGAATGAGTCACCGTTCACTCTCACTGCGAACAATGAACGAAGAAATTCTTTCCAGTCTAGACAGGTCTTCGGACGTTACTCGGGCGTTTTGAGTGAATTTTTGTATAGAACGTTTATAATTTGTTGGCGTTGCGTAGAGATATATGTCTCTATATCTTCTACCGTATTTACCATGGTTTCTTAAATACGCAGATAGAAAGAAAGTCCATTGGTGCCGGGGATCGAACCTACGACCTGAGCGATGAGAGTCGCAAGCTTAAGTCACTAGACCAACACTGCTCTTTGTTTATATTTAAAAAAAAATGTTAAATGTGTGGCCCGTATCTTCAGTAGCCCATGTCTTGTCAAAAAGTTTTATTGATTATCTTAATTAAACGTACAATTTTAATTTAATTATTACATATTTACTCTATCTATGCACATATACATATGTTATGTTCGTAATTGTGAGACTTTAACCTTGAAAGCATTAGAACGGTTCAAAGCTTTAAAATATCGCTAAGTCAGTAAAAAACTCTTAAATTAAATTTAGATTTAATTTGGGATTTATTTAAAATCACTTCCATAATATATAAACCATTAATAAGAGACGGGAAGGCTTTTGAATACAGGGTATATGTTACTAAGATTCTTAAGTTCATCATCAAGCGTGTTGTTCCCACGAGAATGTAAGTGCGTGCTCCTATTTCACTATGCCTCCTGCTTATAGAGGACAAATCTTTGTTTTAAATTTATTTTATTATTATAAATGAACTATTACTTACTTAAAGATGCCATGTGGAACATGGTGTAATGGTTACAAACTCCTTTCAAACATTTTGTAAAACAAAAAACTTGGCGATTAAAAGAGTGGCGGAGAGTTTATTGCCAGTTCTTCTCTTCCGTTCTATGCCCTTATTTGAGAACTGGCAGTAAATGTAAAATTAGAAGCATTTAATATATATTTCTTTTTTGACGTTCACAATACATTGTGTTACCTATATGAATAAATGATTTTGTCCCAAGTCCAAATCTGACAATGGTCTTGCAATGTCCAATAATGTTTTTAAATCTTCTGCTACACATCACTCTACTAAAATGAGTTTAAGCCTCTGAAACAAGAAACTACCAGCGCTCCCTGTCTGGTACCACTTCCTGCCAATTGCTGGCTTTCAGCTGCAGCAGATCTTCCTCCACTCTGTCGATACCTTCTCAAAGTGCCCCAGTACTGTATGGGCCTATAACGTTACGAGACGGAATAGCGTACTACGTACATTTAAATTATTAAAATTAATTTCACGTCGGAAATACCACTAAATCGTAGATAAAGGCATCGCAAAAAATATATCTCATTAATATTTTTTGCCCAGTACTTGGTACACAATGGATAATGTAATCGTTGTATGTTTACAAGACCGTGTAATATACTTATAAAATATTTTATTTTAGTATGGTTTTATTAGTATGCTTTATGTGTTGGAATGTTGGTATAATTTGCAACGGCTTACATTTATATAACAACGATGATAAATGTTTGAGCGTCTCGAAGGTACTGAAGCATTTCCGAATCAATTAGACTTAGGGTCCTTCAAGAAAAGAGCGTACCAATTCTTAAAAGGCCGGCAACGCACTCGCGAGCCCTCTGTCATTGAGAGTGTCCATGGGTGGCATCACATATATTTTACCCCGTTCTATAAAAACGTCGTCACTAGATGCACTTAAAATATATAATCAGTGGCGCTACAATCTCTTTAGGCCTGGGCCTCAGATTTCTGAATCTGTTTCATGATCATTTTTCAATCTAATAGGCAAGTAGGTGATCAACGGTTTCATCACGATGTTTTCGTTCACCGTTCAAGCGAATGTTATATGCGCACATAGAATTGGTGTGAATTGTCTTTAAAAAAAAAAAAAATAGAAAGAAAGTCCATTGGTGCACACTGTACAGTGTTCAAGTATAACGTCACGCATTTTTTTGGAGATTATTGACTCCCCCATGTAACGCGCCGTAACGTTTTTCTGTACCCAAGTATAGTAAAACGTTTCGTGACCACCTAGTGACTGTTTATACTTAAAAGTTACCATTATGTGGTGTAAATTACTGGAAAGTCGAAAATAATATTAACAAACGCGTAATTCAATCCGCGGGGGATTGTATTCGTATCGTAACGTTTTATAAAAGGACCCCCCTAATTCGTTACGTAATAATTGAACACTCCCTTAGTCCGAAAAGAGGATATAAGAGAGACACTATTCTATCAAGAAAGATGCTTTAAGTGTGTCTACTCGCGAATCTAATTGAAAACATTATTTCTAGATTCACATGTACCAACAGTCCATGATGCGGGCTGAAGAAGTGCGCAGGCGGCGCAGAGAAGACATGCCAACAACACAAACGGCTGTCAACAATATTTTAGCTGCAGCAGCTAGGGAGATGGAAGAGGCCAGACAAGCGACCAGGACTGATAGAGTCGTCGCCAGCATCCAGACGGAACAGGATAGCAATAGTAAGTACAGTCTCTTACATTTAAGCTGCTGTAACAAGAGTATATATTTATAATAATAAAAATATCAATGAAAATGTATAGAAACTATTTTTATATATTACTAGCTGACCCGACAAACGTTGTTTTGCCATTTCTAAGAAACATTGTTTTAGTTCAATAAAAATAACTATCTGCTATAATAAAAATAGAGGTTGATCGTAGAGGGGTGAAAATTAAGGGTGTATTTTTGTATGCTACAGCATACAAAAATACATCATAAAAAAATAAAAACAAAACAAATGTGTAAGAATTAAAAAATTTTTTGGGATGGACACACCTTATCACTTACGGGTTTGAAAGCTAGATAGTAGCCGATTCTCAGACTTACTGAGTATGCATAAAAATTTTCACAAGAATCGGTCGAGCCGTTTCGGAGAAGTATGGGAACGAACATTGTGACACGAGAATTTAATATATTAGATTCCGCACATTTCTTTTCTGTCATATTTTGACCGCATCAGGTCTCTTTTCTATTGGTATATTTTATAAATGAGCTGTTTCTTTTATTTGAGCCGTGTTGGCCTAGAGGCTTCAGCGTACGTCTCTCATCCCTGAGATAGTTGGTGCGATCCCCGGCAGTGATAATCTGCACGCTAAAAAAAATATCTGTTTTTTTAGCATCAACAGCTACACCGTCAGACGCGAAACGCGAGTCCGAAGACGAGAGGCCAAAGAAGAGAATCTCGATTATGTCACCTGATGATGAGAGGATGCGAGCGAAAAAGAAGATGACTGTGCGCTTCCAGGACGAGAAGATGGAAGAACCCAATAAGGTCACTTCACCCAGTGAGTATTGTATTAGCTTTTACAGATTTTTCTAAAAAGATATCTGATAGTTGCTCAAGCGATCAGGCGATTTATTTATTTATTAAAGTTCACCACAGCATACATAATGCTATATCTACAGTATATGTTACAAGCTATATTTTCTAATGGTGGGTCTTTGATTTTTATATTTGGTGATTACGTAAACAGTAATTACTTTTTTTTAACTTTTTTACAAATATTACCCACACATTTTCTGTGCTTGAAACGAAATGCATTTTCGAGGATTCCTACAAAAAATTAATACGTTTATTCTGTATATGTACTATTATTTTTGGGGGATAAATTGCAGTAAATCTTATGTCAAGCTCTGGATTAGTAGAGTTTATTCTGTTATCGCGAAGAATTCGAATGAGAGGAGCCTGAACTCCTAGGTTGGCCTTTGCAGATGGAATTTGAAAAATTCATTTTTCAGACATCGTTTTAAGTTTTCTAAGTCGCTGATGATGAAGAATGCTGTACTAATGAATGATTTAAGTTGAGATTCAGAAACCTATGTAAAAATACTTAGGGAGCGTTCAAGTATTACGTCACGCAATTTTTGGATATTATTGACCCCCCCCATGTAACGCGCCGTAACGTTTTTCTGTAGGTACCCAAGTATATTACAACGTTTCGTGCCCACCTAGTAGTGACTCTTTATACTTAAAAAATTCCATTATGATTATTGTAAAAGGTTAAAGGATACGTAATACTGGATTGTTGAAGTCTTGATTCCCTTAAAACCCTGGGGTCGTACGTTCGAACCACTCGAACGAATCTTTGTTTTTATTTTGTTGTTCGTTCTATGAAAAAGATGTTCCTGGTTCTATTCCGAACCCTTTCGATTTTAGTAGGCGACGCACTTGCGAGCCTTCTGGCAATGTGTCCAACAGAGGACGGTATCACATAACATCAGATGAGCCTCCTGCCCGTTTGCCTCCGGTTACATTAAAATAAGATTTTCTACTTATAATTAAAATTTAAATGGACTACAAAAATTCTAATTATAAATATCATAAATCCTTCGATTTATTGTCATTATTCAATGTCAAAAAATCAAGTCTAATATGTCTCGGAACGCAATCAAAAAAACAGGTTGAAGTTTTATTATAAGTTCAAATAATATTTGCTTTTAATAAAATTAATAAATGACAACATAACTTTTAACATATATTTGAGATATAATCCTTGGTATTAACATTATAATTATATTAAATCGTTTATTTGCAAAGTAAGTAGTACATTCAGATTAATTATATAAAAAAACCGCACAATCAGCCATATAGAAAATAGATTAGATTAAAACTTAATTTAAACCGCGCATTTTAAACGCAAATACAATGTGAAAAAATATTTTTAATTATGTTAATTAAAACAAATGAAAGCTAGTCTGATGTGTATTCATCTAACATCGAACTCAGAGACTGCCATTAAATAATCTCTATAGATAATTTACAATTATATATATACGCGATGGAAGTATGAACTGAACTAAACCTTTGATTAGTTAATGCTTGTCTTAAGGAAGTATTATACTGTAAAATATTCCATTTGTCCTTTTAGAAGCGTTTCGGCCAAAACTCATTGATATCCAGAGTGACCATTCTGATAAACGGGGTCTGAATATCCATAGATGCTCACACACTTTGAAATCGATTTCCCTTTAGTTTTTATAATTTAATTTTTGGTTTAATATTTTTATCTCTTCGTGTATGTTACGTTTGCCTATAAGTGCTTGTTACATTAAATATTTTATTAAATTTTTCTTGTACCAATGTATCAGTGCTGCGCGTTGGCAAGTTTTTATAAATATATCAAAGTATCACAGATAACCGTTATTTAAACGACGACTCTGAGTCGTTAAGCACTATTAAATATGATGATGTTTCCGTCAAATAATGATAATTATTAACAAGAAAACCAGATGAAAAATGATTATAATAGCCCTGAGGACATTTGTAACACACCTGCCATTTTATATGATTCAAGGAAATTGTGTAATTTTATTTCAGTTAAGGCATATTTTCGCTTAATACGTATAGTTCTGAATTTGGAAATAAAAAAGTCATTGCCAAATCTTAAATTTTATCTATAAACTATCAACATATTTAGTCGCTATAGAGCATACTAAAAGGCGGGTAACGCATCCCCTAACCTTTTGAAACAACGGTTTTCCTTTATCGCCTAACCGCAGGCTCGCTTGCTCCCCCATGCATGTTATAATCCAGTCTCCCGCCGCGTGGTATGTCTCTGTTCGTAATTAACTCAAAAGGTTTACATATGGATTTTCATCCAGTTTTCACTATTAGTTCATCAGTTAGATTTAGGTAGGTATATAATGTCAAGGTTTTGTGTAAATGTGTATATAACGATTTCCACGTGTTTGAAAAATATCACGTATATAAAAATATTGTACCAACTATATATTTATTTATTACAGTACACAACATCATATATAATATTTTCAACATAAGCGAATATGAATTTTGCAAAAATAATAAAAATATTACACTTCCAAAATAGTGAGGTAAAAAAATTACTACAAATTTAACTCTTTAACTTACTTGCCTAATGTGGATTAAGTAAGCGATAGGTGTCAAACAAAATGTAGCAGGAAACGAATGGAGAAAAAGAGCCATAGACAGAGTCAGTTGGAAAAAGCTGAAGAAGGCCTTTACCCGTGAAGGGGTTCCGATCGACGGTACTGAAGGAAGCTAGGATATAGAATGACATTCAAAAGAAAAAACAATCTAAGCTGTGCATTATAATTTGTTTTTGTCATGATTCGAAATAAAACGGCCTTTATTATTATTATTATTTAGGTGTCAAACAACGCTTCATTTTTAAATCAGCCTACTACCGAATACATCAAGCTCTTCAAGCTCTCAAGTAGTCATTCAAAGTCGTTTTTTTAAAGTAAGAACCGTCATTCACCTTCTTATCTATTTAAACAAATCACGATACAGAAACCTGAGGCTAACAACAATATTTGATAATAGTTTCGCAAAGTAATTTTTATTAATACAATAGGCTATCTGAAGTATAGCGAGGCTCCATACGTTTTATTCGAAAACCAGAGCTCTCCTTAAAATATTGATTGGATTTCTCGGTTAATGAATTTCATCCTATACTCCTGTTATAATTCAACAAGGGTGCATCAAGCTAGCGTTTATACATCTGCATATAAGCACTAATTATCTTATGTGAGGGTGTTCCACCCTTCATAACTGTAGTTGACACTATGTATATCAAGGGTTCATATGTAAAGTCGCTATAGATTTTTTTGTTATATGATCAATAGCTATGAGTTATTCAATGACACGGTATTCTTAGGCATTTTGTTCGTATCTTATCCGTTCCTTAATAAGACTCAGTATTTAATCAATATACGAAAGTCTTGTCTATGACGTTGGGAAAGACAATGCAAATGTTACGTTGTTGTTCTATTGTCTTTGATTGTTGACGTGAATACAGATAATGTAAAATGTAACAGATTTCCGATGCTTGGGATAATTATAAATAACAAGGATTATAATCAATAGCTATGGGTCATTTCATGTGAAAGTATTGTATTTTATCCCTTCCTCTATAGGACTATCAATATATGAGAGTCTTGTCTATGACGTTGGGAAAATGTCATGTTGTTGTCTGTTGTCTCTGATTTTTTACGTGAACATAGATAATGTAAAACATTTGATTTTACATTATCGATTCCTGATGCTTTACAAAAAATACGTACAGGGGCGTACATATATTTTAAATAACGCTTAATATTTTATAGTTTTGTATGCGTTAAGAAGACTGTTTTTAAAAGACGGAACTGTTCCTAGACCCACGGTTGTACCAATACACTTTTCAATATTTATATTTACAATCGTACTAAGCGAATACATTATGAACTCTTGTTAGAAACCGACGTGCTGTGCACAGGCTGATCACATACTCGCTAAGAATAATATTAGCATGAAACATACAATATTCTTACCGTAATAATATAAATTGAAAATTAACAAAAAATTAAAACAAATTTAACTTTCCCCTTTAACTCTGGCAACATTTCCTCGCTGTATTGCGTTTCTTATTCGTTGAATGAGGCCCCAGCTCTGGGGTCACCGGTACTATCTACCGGGCGTCAACTTAAATCTTTAATTGGCGCATGTGCAGTCAACCCCACTGCCCAAAAGTCTACTCCTCAGGGAACAAAATCAAATTTGGAGGAATATATTACTTTTATTACTGACGTAATATATGCAAACATATGTAACTGAATTTTTGCTTTTAGTAAGACGTAAAGTGAATGTACAATTAGAACATTTTAGTTTTAAGTTGCGTTTCACGGTTCGCTTGGTTTTATGTCTCTTAGTATAAGATATATTACTTTTTTAATAGAGTCTAATTTTGCAGTAATAACTATTTTATCTTGCATATAAATAATTTCTATGACCATAAACTTAATTAAATTTATTTATTGTATCCAAAGGTTTGGATAATTTATTCAGTAGCATAAATAGTTTACAATATTTATGTTTAATTAACTTATAATTAAAGTCTTTTTTTCCAGAATACAAGCTTCACTCTTTGATCTATTTATTATTATTTATTTTAATTGCTTATTACATAACTGTAAATAATGTACAGACTAAAGAACAATAATATTTTTTAAATACTAATCAAGATTATCATAAAGCCGCAGACAACGATAAACCGTATGGTACTGGCAGCGTATAAAAAACAATTATTCGTCAGGTGTCAAAATTTATACATGATTCTAAATTTAAATTTGCCGCCTTTTAAACGATCAGATTTTATAATTTACAAGATGCTCGCAAGGAGCAACATCACATCCTTCACAGGCAATTTATGATAATAACAAATTGGTCTCGGTCCGTGTGATCAGCCTTCTGTCCATACCTAGGTTTTTGGTTCTGTTTTCCTTCATCTAGGATCGGTTAAGCTCGTCGGTTCCAGCGACTATTGAA